TTTCTAGTAATGTACACTTTATTATATGAGTCAAAGTGAATGTGTATATTGTAACTCATACATGTGAAATTTATTTACAACTCTATAGGTGAAAATTGCAGTCAAAGAAATGTAATTTATTTTTACGTTTCTCAATGAAATGGATTTTTTCAACGAAAACTTTATTTTTGTAAATAAATATTCAAGTTGATGTTGTGCTGAAACATAGAAATTAGAGAAAATTGAAGAGTTTCTATTTTGAAAATAACTTCATCAATTACAACTTTCATTTTATATTATTTTGTCCTATTTTATTTATTTGCGATTACTTGCCATCGATCACTTTATTCAAGGGAGGACAGAGTTGACTTTTTTGTGTGCCTTATAAACTATGAAATAACCACGAATTCTAATACAAAACCTTCAAGTTTTTCTATTTCTGACAACAATTTCTTTTTAAATAACTTAATTCTTCAAAGATTATCATAAAATTAGTACTTATAAATTATTTAATCAATAATTTTACTTAAATATTTCAAAGTTAATTGAATTTTAAAAGAGTTGCGTTTATAATTTTCATAATTAGATGAACTTCAAAAGGTTGCAATTTGAAATCTTGTAAAATTTCAATTTTGAATAAATTTAATTAGAAATTTTAAAGAACTTGGATTTTTGAAAAATTTTAATAAATCAAATTCTTCTGAAATTAGTTAAATTCTTTTATATTTAATTCATTATTAAAAATAATTGATTTATAGAAGATTTTTAGTTAAAAACACTAAAAACAATTGAATTTTCTAGAATGTACAAATAATTGCAGAAATTCTATTATTTTCAAAAATTTTTTTAAATTCTCTTCAAAATATCAATTATTTTAATAAATAATTAAATTTTTCTCCAAAATTCAACTATTTTCAAAAATTTATCCTCAGTTCAATGATTTTTAATATCTACTATTTTACTACAATTTTCCAAAAGAATTCAATTATTTAAAAAAAATTTTGATAAAATTCTACGCAAACATTTATATCATAGAAATTTTATTTTGTATTTCATTGACCTTTCATTCATTTATAAATTTAATTATTCAAAATTTCTATTATTTTCTAAAATAAATATTTATTTACTTTGAATTTATTTTAAAAATTTTTTGTTTATTTTTTTAAAAATATTAAAAAATCAAGTTTTTGAAAAATTTTAATTATAAATATAAAAATATTAAAAAATCAAGTCTTTGAAAAATTTTAATTATAAATATGAAAATACATTTGAATTTTCGCAGAATTTTTCACGAAAATACACATTTTTTCATAGTTTTAAATTTATTTTTCAATAAAAATACATGATTTCTTTAAAATTTTTATGCTATAAAGTAAAAAAAGTAGATTTTTTAAAAATTTTAATTTTAGTTTTTTTAAAGATAATTGAATTTCTTAAAAGAATTTATAGACAATTATTTTTAATAATTTTTTTAAATTTTCAATATAATTCCAAATAATTAGATTGTTCAGAAAATGTTAATGCAATTATTTTTTACAGATATTTGAATTTTCCAAAATATATCATTGAAATATTGAAAATAATTGAATTTAAAAAAATTATAATAAAAAAATTTTAAGAATTCCTTTTTAAAAAATATTTGAATATAATTTTTTTAAGCTAATTTTCATTACTTTTTATTTTAAATTTTCATTTGAAGATTTCCCATTAAAATTTTTGAGAATTTAATTGTTGTCAAAATTTTCAATTAAAATTCCTCATAAATTAAAATTTCAAAAATTTTTATGAAATATTAAAAAAAATAAATTATTTTCAATAAAATTTCAATAAACTTCAATTATTTAAAAACTATTTAATTTTATGTATTGCAAAAAAAATTTAATCAACTTAAAAAAATGATTCAAAAATAATTTTTGGAAGATTTGACAACTATAATTCTACCTCATAGTGCAAAAATCGAAATAATTTCCATTTTATTCCAAAAAATTGGTGCTTTATTGCAATATTTGCAAAAAAAAGTCGAATTTTCGAAAATGAGTGGAAAAAATTCGCCTTTTATAAATATAGTCGAAAAAAGTTCAAAAAGTTATACTATTAGAGGCCTAGGTGTTATTAAAGAACAATGTAATATTTAATTGAACCTTTTGAAGAGATATTGCTATTATAACATTCAACGAGATGAATTTGAAAAAGGCCGGAAATATTGCTGTGTATGTGCAAAAGACGATACCTCGCCAATGATCTATTCTAGATTTCAGGAACGATCCGTCCAACCGATTAATTTTCAACGCTCGACCAATTAACGATAATCGGTATGTTGCCGAGATTCATAACGGCGTGACTTCTCTAACGTAATAGGGAATAACGCCCGCTGTAAATTTCCAGTCAGTGGTCATATATGCTGGCCAACGGCTTCTTTATTTCTTCTTCATCTAATGTTCTTTTTATTCAACTTCCTTTAAGACCATCCCCCATTCTTATGTTCATAACTCGCGCGAGTTTGGTCTAGATAAAATTATCTTCACACAAAAAAAGTTGCAAACCGCAATTATTTGAATTTTCCCTTGTTTTGTTTTTGTATTTTTTTTTTATTCTCAAGTCAAAAGCATAAAAGTTTTAGTTTCACGTTTCTCGGAAGTTAAAATAGTCGTAACTTTATAATTGACATTTGTAAGCACCGAAAACCAATGGAATTTAAAGAACGTTAATAAATAAACACATTCCAGAAAGTACGTAATATTTTTTTAGGTTGTTTCGTTCGTTTTACCATACAGTCAAAAGTTAATGCCGGTAATACTGTGCGGTTTGAAAAATTAGTTTTATACGTTTGGTTCTTATATTGGAAATTAGTTTTTGTTTATAGAATGTTTCCAATATTTATTTTTTTATACAAAAATGTTATTTTTATTTTCTTCTGTCAATTAGGGTATATTTTTCTTATTCATTTCAATAGTCAATTAATGAAATTTAGAATAATTAACAAGCGTAGAATAGAAAGAATAATTCAATGCAACAATTTTTTAATTATACAAATTATAAACTGTGATTTTTCAAACTTTTTTGTAACTTAATTCCTATATTTGTATCGCAAAATGCAAAAAATTGAAATACATTATAAATTGAAATTTATAATTATTTCAATTCTTGATAATTACATTTAAAATGAATTTTTTTTATTTACACAAATTACAAATTATGATTTTTCCAATTTTTGATAATTGAATTACCAAATATGATTTGCAAAATAATAAAATATAAAAATTGGAAAAATTATAATTATGAAAAATAATTGAATTCATGGCAAGATTTTTTTTATTTATAAAAATATTTGAAATCTTTACAAGAATTTTATTAGAGTTTTCAAAAATAATTTAATTCTTTTAAAGAATTTTACAAATAATTTTCAAAATAATTGAAATTATTCGGAGAAATTATATAAAAATTTAACTAAAAACAATTGAATTCTTGCGTAGAATTTTATTAAAATTTTGATAAATAATTGAATTCTTTCGAGAACTTTATTAAAATTTTCAAAAATAATTGAATCTTTTCCAGAAATTTTATTAAAATTGTATTGAAAATATGTAACTGAATTCCTATGAAAAATTTTATTATTTATAAAAAATAATTCAATTCATGCGAAAAATCTTATTCAATTTTTTTTACAAATATTTAAATTTTTATAAAAACTGTTATCATAATTTTTGAATTAATAATAGAATACTTCTGCGAAGAATTTTATTATCTAGAAAAACAAAAATTGAATTCTCGCGAAGAATTTAAATAAAATTGTATTGAAAAGAATTATATTAAAATTTTAGGTAATGAAAATAATTAAATTCCTACGAAGAATTTTATTATTTACAAAAATAATTGAATTCCTGTAAAGAATTTTATTATTTATATAAAAATAATTGAAGTCTTGTGAAGAATTTAAAAAATTTTTAAAAACTAATAAATAATAATTAGGTAATAGGTAAGTGGATTTTAAATATAAAATTGATTTGTTTTAAAAAATACAAAAAATTTGAAAAAATACAAATTACGATTTCGCATTTTTTCAATTTTTTATAAATAAATTTTGCATTTTGTTTTGAAAAATAGAAAGTAGAAAAAGTAGAAAAGTTAAAAGTAACTATTTTTAAAATATTAATTTTACAATTTTTACGAAAAAAAAGTTGAATAAAATGCGAAAATTTCAAATTATAATTTTTGATTTCTCTAATCTATAATTATTACATTTTTTTACATTGATTTTTGAAAATGAAAAAATTGTGAAACTTACAAATTATAATTTCTGTTTTTTAATAATTAAATTATTCGTTTATTTTAAAAAAATAATTGTAAATTACTATTTTTAATTTTTGTAATTTGTGGTAATTGAAAATTTTAAATGATTAAAAATATTTTATAAAAATAATATTGAAATTTAATTAATGATCGATTGGCAGAAATAAAAATGTCAAAATAAATTTACAAAAAGAAGAAAAATGATAAAATTTAATTGCATGTTTTCATTCAGTTGACTATTCAATTTAGTAAACAAGAAATAAAAAAAAGAAAAACTTCTCTTCATAGAATTTTTTCAAATATTCATTCATATTTTCCCATTTTCTAAAAACCGATACTCGTTCTAGAATTTGAAAGTAAACATCCGTCTTTCTGCATTGAATGCGTGTCGAGAAACGCTTCATTGTTGATTAGAGAAAAGGCACTCTGAGGTCGACCGCACCCACAATTTTTACCTCTCAAACACAGGACGTACTCGTTAACGCATTATTACCATCTTGCGTAATAAAATAATTTTTTTTTCTCCTTTTTATAAAACTTGTATCAAACATAAACCTTGAAATATAAACAAGACGCACACACGAGAGAGGAATAAGTTCATCGAAAATAATGATGAGTTTGTCATTGTAAATGACGTAAGTGATCAATCGGTATGTCATCTTCATGACCTCAGCGATCATTATCATATTGATTGAAAAAAAAATCTATACAATAATTAGTTTTGTACTCACCAGCCGGATGTATCTGCCAATCATATCGGCGAGTTGTGGTGCACGATTAGTGTGAAGTGGTAGTCGCACTCCAGAAGAAACTTGCAACATACAAACTCCAGCCCTTGATGTGCCGACGGAGACGATGTCCTCCAATGGCAATGTTTCCAGGATCGTTAAATTGCCATTCGAGTTTCTTTTTATTAATCGCAGACCATGATGCGAAACCGCCACGTGCTGAACTTCCGGATGCTGGGGTCCAATCTACATCATAAATTCAATATTACTGACTTTTTATTAAATATAAAATTCGTTAATAAAATATGTAAAGAAATTGTAGAAAGAATTCATAGAAAAAATCTGTAGAAGAAATTTTAAAAACAATTTTTTACAAAGAATTTCTAAAAACAATTTTTTATAAAGAATTTTTAAAAACAATAATAAGCGTAATTTGTTAAAAGGACAATTAAGAATTTAAAAAAGAATTCTTTTGGAATGAAAAAATATGTTAGAAAATTAGAGAATATTTCAAATCTGAAGAAATAAAGAGTTTAAATAAGAATGCTTTTAGAATGAAAACATATAGATTAGAAAATAAGTGTATTTTTTAAATCCAAAGAAATTTTTTTAGTTTACCGAAACGGGGAAAATTCGAGCGAAGTAAAGAGGCCACTGCTTGGCCAGATCGACAATATTCTTCTTAATCGTAATCTTGTGTTGAGTGCTTTGAAGATTATCGAGAGTGACTCCGTAATTGTCCAAGAGTTTGAGCATATTTTGCCTGTCCTCCTTCGAAATTCGAATATTCGAAGTCGCCAAGACATCGTAGGCAACTTGACAAAATACCAAATGCAAAGCGAGCGGTGTAGTTAAACTCTCATTGGGCGCAAAAACTTCCTTCTTCACTCGCAAAGTCCACGTGACTCTATTATAAGTAAAATGCGCCTGTGACGCCTGTGGATATAATTTCGTGTCCAAAATCTCTTGAACCTTTTCAATTTCGGGTTTATCGGCAGGTGGCAAAACGGGTTTCAAAAATTCGGGCCATTCTTCAATTTCAATTCGTTCCATTTTATCGGTTCGATGTGTCGAGGCAATGCTCGATCGTCTATCAATATCGTTATCCATTTTTTTGAAACTCTGCCTAGTGACAGTGAATGATTCACGTGTATTTGGAACAACACCAAAATCACGTGGCGATGGCATTCCAAAACTATCTCTCGATTTTGGTGATACATCCCTTGTCATTCCAAATGGATCGCGTTTAGCGTTGTTATTCTCAAAAATTTCTCTCGCATATTTCGCTTCGGAGAATATGTCTGAATTCATATCTCTACGTGAATCGAAATCAGAATTTCTATCGCGAGTTGAACTTGCCAAATCAGTGCTGTCCTTGCCAAAGTAGTCCTTTGATTTTGATTCCTGAATTCTTGATTCGTTACGGTATTCATGATTATCACGTAAATGCTGTTGAGAGGCGAAAATGTCACGACTTTGACTGAACATGTCGCGTTGATTCTTTGCAAAATGATCGAATGTATCGGAATCGGGCGAACTTCGGAACATGTCCCTATTCTTTGGCTCAACTGGTGCGGGCGGCGATTTCGGTTGAGGTACTCCCGATTGACTGGATTTAAGAAAAATAAAACAAATCTTAGAATCAAGATTGTATTTGTTGCGGAGGAAAAAAAATTTAATTTTAGGAAAATTACAAGTTTTCTTATCAGGTTTGCCACAAATATTTAATTTTATTTTTCCCTGGCTTTTCCATAATTTCCAGAGAAAATTTCAACTTTTTCCCTGACCCTAAAGAATATTCTGATTCACTCTAAAAATTATTATATACTCAAAAAAATGATCTATTACATTTATTTACAAATTCCTTTCATTGTAAAATTATTTTTAAAAAAATCAGTAACTTCTTTTTTAAATAAATATTTAATCATTATTATTCTTCTGTAGGAATTAAAATTTTTCAAAACATTCAAATTCAAACCTTTTTGAAATTCAACAACTTATAAGAATATTATTACAAAACATGAAAAAGGCGATCACCTTCTTCATGTTTTATAATAATTTAAATTACCATAAAATTTTTTTTAAAAAAGTTAATTATTTACAAAATCCTTCGCAAGAATTCAATTATTTGTACAAGTAGTAAAATTTTTCAAAAAAATTCAATTATTTAAAAAAATGTAATAAAATTCGTTGCAATAATTCAATTATTTTCATAAATAATAAATCGATTATTCGGTAATTCATTTTTAAATCAATTTTTATTACAAAATTCTAGAAGAATTCAATTATTTAAATTAAAAAATAAATAATTTATTGAATAATTTGAATTTTTGTTAAAATTGAATTCTCATAAAGAATTTTACCAACAAATTTTTAAATAATTGAATTCTTTTGACAAATTTTAATAAAATTTTTAAGAATAATTACATTTTTCGAGAAATTCGATTAAAATATTGTATCAAAAATAATTAAAATCCTGCGATAAGTTTTATTATTTATGAAATTAATTAAAATTTTCCCAAGAATTTTATTAAAATTTTTCTAAAATAACTGAATTTCGGAAAAGAATTTTATTATTTATAAAGATACCTACTTGAAATTTTGACAAGAATTTTTTTTTTATCATAATTGAATTTCTGCGACGAATTTTATTATTTATAAAAATAATTCAATTCTTAAAAATAATTGAATTTTTTCGAAGAAATTTATTAAAAATTTTGTAAATAATTGAATTCCTTTGAAATTTTGCCAAGAATTTTATTAAAATTTAAAAAAAAATTGAATTTTGATGAAGAATTTTATTATTTATAAAGATAATTGAAATTTTGAGGAGAATTTTTTTTTAAATTTTTTAACATAGATAATTGAAATTCTGCGAAGAATTTTTATAATTTTTGAAAATAATTTGAATTTCTGGAATCATTTGTAACTTTTCCAAAATTCAATTTTTTTTTAGTATTTTGAACTAAAATTCTTCTATCAATCTAGTATTTTGTGAAAATTGTAAAATTTATTCATTAAATAATTTATAAGTCATAATTTTATTATAGTTCTTGAAAAATTAAATTATTTAAAAAGAAATTATTGTCAGAAATAGAAAAAATTGAAGGTTTTGGATTAAAATTCGTGGTAATTTCATAGTTTACGAGTCAAACAAAAAAAAAAAAACATCAAAATTCAGAGTTTTCTCATGAATTTTAAAAAATCAATTTTTTCTTGTACTTCTACTAAAAATCCCTGACTTTTCCCTGAATTCCCTAACCTGTGGCAACCCTGCTTATACTCAAAATCTGACTTTTTGATAGAATAAAAAATGAGGAATTATAATTATATAATTATCCTATTTGTTGTCGAAAAAAAACTATTTTCTTTTTCTTATTTTCAGACCTCGGATTAACTCTAAGGAGCAAAAAAGTCTCTGTATTCGATTGAAGATACAAAAAACAGAGTACAAAAAGTCGTTCCATTATTCAGTGTTAACACAAACATTCGATTTTGCATTTCCCTGAACTATCTTTGATTTCTAAAATCAATTATTCACGACTTCACTAATTTTGTTAACTAAATATTTAAATATTTATTATTTATTTTCTCCACACGAATTTAAAATTTTCTGAACTTTAATTCTTTCTAAAAATTACAACTGTAAACTCTTCCTCAATTTAATTATTTTCTACAATATTTAAATAAATTTCTTCTCAAAAACAATTATTTATAATAATTTTCCGAAAGTTCTTCAAAAATTCAATTACTTATATATAAAATGAAATTATTTAATAATTATAACGCCAATTTTTTATAGTTCTTTTTTAAAAGTTATTAAGATGAAATTTGAAAAATATATGTAATCGAAAATACGATAAAAATTTCTCCAAGAATTAAAAAAAGAATGAAAATATTTCAAACAAAAGCAAAAATTTTTTGCCGTATTTTGTCAGTAAAGTTTGAAGATTCTTTTTATTACAAAACTTTAATTTTTCAGGGGGTTTCTTTTCGTAAAATTTTTTTATGTGGATAAACAGAAAGCAAGTAGATGCAATTTAAAACAAACCTGTTGCTGTAGACACTTCCGCCCCTTGGACTGGGAGGTTCGGGAGGCGTAATTGGCGGAGGTGGAGGTATCGGTCTCTCCATCCTTTCAATTTGAGTTTTTACAACTTGCGCCTGTGTCATCATGTCCGTTGTTCCCTTCGAAGTTACACTCTGCGTGTCATCAACAGTCGAGGCATAATCGTCCCATCGGCCTCCTAAAAATCATAAAAAAATCAAACCTTCCAAAATATCCTCGCAAAAATTTTTTACACCCTTCCAAATTTGCCATATTCCGGAAATTTAAGAGCATTTCCAAAAATTACATCAAACTTAATTTTTTATCAAACAACAACATTAAATTTTACAAGTATAAATATATTATTTTTCAAAATATTAATATAATAACAATACTAAAAATTAAAAGACGGTATAGGTAGAGGAATGAAAAAAGAATATAGATAAAAAAGTTTTTTAAAAAAATCTTGCAATAAATTTAAAAACAAATTTGTTTAATTTAAAAAATAAAATTAAATGCATTTAAAAGTATTCTTAAAGAAATATTACTATGAAAAAAAGAGAAATGAAAAATAGTGTTGTAGAAATATGCTCGTTTTGTAAGAAATGAATTTGCATAAAAAAAGAAAATAGCTACCAAGTTGTTGCTCAAGAAGAATCTTCCTGTTGTCTTCTAGCCTCTTAACCTTGCCATCTTCTCTCGGAAGAGCTGGCTTTTCCGTTGTTTTTGTTGATCTCACACTGTGATTAGCAGTTACCATCTCAAGTCTCTGTTTCATTTCTGAACTTAATTTTAGTTTCCCTATGCTACCAGGCGAAGGTCTTTGCGCTCCTACTTCAAATCCAGATCTGACAAGAACAAATTTATTCCACACATTAAGAATTTCAAAAAAAAAAATCTTTATTTTCGTAAAAATAAATGTTTCAATTTTCAATAATTCAATTCAGTTAATTAATTTTCAAACTATAATTTTAATTAGATATTTCTTTAATTCTTTAAATTTATTTTCAATAATTATATAATAATTATAATTTAAAACATATTCAGTTATTGCATTTTAGTACCGACTTGATCGATATTACTTACTTTGATTTCTTCTTTTTCTTGTCTGAGTCTTCTTTATAGCCGTTTTCGTGTCTTTTAATAACAGCAGTTGACGAGTGAACGACTATTGTTCTCTCTTCATTACTGGAAATATTTTCAATCTCAAATTCCTCCCATTCGACACCACCTTCGGTCATTGATTCGCCGTCTTGATACTCTTGATAGTGAGGAGTAATTTTTCTTTGTTGGTGGTGTTGTCGCATTTTAAATTCAATAAAACTGTCTTGATTCTGACCATCGTTTGAGTCATTCAATGGAGGCCAACTATAACAACAAAAAATTCATAGAAGTTGTAGAAAACGGTATTAACTTTTTTCATAACATTAAATATTTATTTCGAAATTATAATCGAACTATTATTTTGATTCTCCTATTTATTTAGGATATTTTTTATTTTAGTATTAATTTAATAACAAATTGAAATATTATGAAATTACTGATAAAATTGAATAATTGTAAATTTTTTGACTGAAAAAAAAAATAGTTTACCGCCATTTTCCAATGCGAACTGTTTTCGCTCGTCCGTAGGGATCTAAAAATGGTCTTGATTCGGATGGATCGTGAGATTCTAAAGGTGGTGGCATTGGTGGTGGAGGAGGAACGCCTTTATTGAAAACAAGACCATTATCAACACTACTTTTTCGATTTTTCAATTCACTGAGAACGTTTGTAAAATTATTTTGAACGTTTCCTTTATGTGATCCACTTCTCTTTAAATCAGGTGTTGAATTCATGGCTTTTCTATCAATACTAATTTTCCTCGGTCCATATTCAGCGCTAGTTTTTCTCAAATCAGAATTTTTCTTCGGTGGACTTTGAGATCGATGTACTTGTGCTTTTACCATTACAGTTTCTTGCCGCTGATTTATTGGCGTTGAATGCGAGGGCATTGCACGTTTCTCCGGTGACCAGAGATCAGCTTCATTTGACTCCTGTAAATAGTATTTTAGAAAAACTCTTTTAATTCTTTATGAAATTTTAAAATAGAGCAATAAGGATCACAGTATCTTTTTCCATTAAAATAGATGAAAAGGTAAATTATTTTCTAAAAGTAGGATACAAGAAGATGACAAAAAAATTGTATTTCAAGTTATTATAATTATGAATACAATTAACTAATTAATTATTTTTTTATTTTTAAACGTTTCAATCAACTTTTCTGAAACTATTCAATTTTTTTTAAATTTTGATAAAATTCTTCGCAGGAATTCAATTATTTTCAAGAATTTTAAAACTTTCTAGGCAAGAATTCAATTATTTCCAATAAAATTTTTAAAATTAATAAAATTTCTCTAAAGAATTCAATTATTTTCAAAAACATTACTAAAACTATTTTATAAGAATTAAATTATTTTCAGTAGAATTTTAATACAATTTTTTGCAAGAATTCAATTATTGTCATAAATAACAAAATTCTTCGCGGAAATTCAATTATTTTCAAGAATTTTAATAACTTTCAAGGCAAGAATTCAATTATCTTCATAAATAATAATTCTTTTCAGTTTTGGACTGTTAAATGAAATGTGTATATTAAGTTACGATTTTTAATTCAAAGCAATTTCGTTAAATTATTTTTTTTAGTATTTAATATTAAAAAAATTACATTTTCATTAAGATTTTAAAATTCAAAAAAACATTTAAAAAGAATAATTATAAAAAAAAATTGTAGAAAACAAAAAAGCAAACAAAATAAACAATAACAGACATCTGGAATAAAACTATTATTATTATTATTATTATTATTATTATTATTATAAAAGATATTGAATTACCTTTATAAAAAACAATTTATAAAGTTTAAAAAATTACGTTTTTATTTATTTTTTTTTGTTTAAATCAACAATTTTTGAAAATATTTTGTTCAAATGTTCAAAATATTTTAAACATGACAAATGTACAAACTGATAAATCAATTAAAATTTTTTCTTAATTGAAGTTTCAAGAAATTGAATTGAAAATTAAAATTAAAATTTAAAGTTTCAAAAAATTGAAATTCTAGCTGAATTTCAGTTTAATTAAAAATGAAATACAGAATGAATTCAAAAAATTTTTGAATTTAAAGATTAAATTCAGAATAAATTAAGATTTAAATCGATGAAAGTTTTAGCAAATTAGAATTGAAATTTATTGAAATTTAATTCATTAAAAATTTTTAAAAACTAGTTTATATTGAAAATATTATAAAAAGTTTTCAGAATGTGTGAAATAGGTAAAAATTAACGGAATAGGTTCCAAAATTAAAAAAAAAGGTGAAAATGTGACTGTCTGTGATCCTTGAAGTAAAATATCAAATAAAACAAGTAACTAAATATATAAAATAAATAAGTAAAATAAAATAAAAATAAAATATGATTGAAAGTAAAATAAACCTCAAATAGAAAAAGTTATTCATAATAAATGTAGAGAAATTTACCGTTTGCGATGCATTCTGTGGACTTTGAACCAAAAGCTGATGGAGAGCTTGATTTTGCGCCAAGATTTGCTGTTGAATTTGAATATTCTGCGCCATTGCACGCTGCAAAAATGCTCTCTGAAGATTTTGTTGATACGCCATCATGTCACTGTTCTGATTTGGTGGTGAGTTTGAGAACTGCTGTAAATTGAGACCTTGCATATTATAGATAGGAATTGGCATAAAACCCGACGACATATTCATACTGTTCATATTTTGATTTTGTCCTGGCGAAACGGGTGCAGGTGGACTGAACATTGGCATCATCATTGCTGGTGGCATCATTCCATGTGCAAGTGCGTTGAAATTAAACGCCGCATTTTGATTTGCATTATCCATATTGCCATCGCCTTTTATTTTCTCCACAAGTAATCTCGTTGTCAATTGTGATTCATCTCTTTCATAAGAACTAATCATGACTTTCACAAAATCATCAACTGTATTCACCTCACTTGAAGTTTTCTTCGATTCAATTGCACAATTATCGAATGTCCCTTTGATACTGGCAGCGAGACTTCTCGCGTCTGAAAGTTCATCTAAATTACCATCGAGAACTGGCATAAAAAGATCGTCCAAAAATTGATCGACATCCGATGCTTGACTAGGAACGCGTACACGACGAACGTGTGATGCGAGGGATGGAGCTTCGCTCGTGTCTGACATTGCAGACGATTTTAGTCCGTATTCACTTTTTTCTATGTATGCTCTACTTGATTGACTTCCTGGCAATGCTCGTTTTCCTAAAAATAAATAATTAATATTAAATAAAAAGAAGAGAACTTTTTTTTAAATAAAAAGAAGGAAACTTTTTTTAATATTTAAAATTCTTTCTTCTTACCTGGATATTGCGACTTTATGAATCTAGTCTGCGATCGAATGTAACTATTTTTATCATCCTCGGATCTTCCCGTCTGACTGACTGATGATTGAATGTCGGGATATTCAAAATCAATGGTGAGATCTTCCTCCTCGAGAATATTTGGCTCGGAACTTCTTGTAATTCTGCTGTACTTTCTCTCTTGCACAACTTCATTTCTTGTCATGTACTCGACGTTACTTACAGCTGGCGCTTCGCCTATTCTCTCCAAACTATGATAGCGTTCATTTAATTTCGATGATGATAGTCCTAAACCAGCGAGTTTACTAGGAGGTACAATAATCTCTGGTTGTAGAAGATTATCCAAACTTCTACTTCGTTGCTTTTCCTTTTCAAAGTATCTGTCGTTTAATGCCGACTTTCTCGACAATCCCATTTCGGTCGTTTCTAGAATGCCCTCGTGTGACTGTTTTCTCATCTGTGAATTGTGCGATTGTTATATTATTTTTTAAACACGTAAGACGCGAGTAGTTTCCTTCACAATGTCTCACACAAAAAAAACTTGTTATCATTTAGTAAAAAATTTTTGTTAAACAAACAAAGAAGAGTGGATGAAATATGAATTAATTGTTCCTTTAATTAGATAAATAGTGTAAAAATGAAATACAAAAAAAAGGCAAAGTAATAAAAGTAAAATAGAAAATTCACTAAGTAGGTATTTTTTATACTAGGTTAAATATTAAGCAAATAAAATGTAACGAAAGAAAATTAGGAAAATAAAAATGACTCACCGGTGCTTTTGAAATTGGAGGTTGAGGTGGTGGTACCGCCGGACGTCTTGGTGATTGAATTTCCGGCTCGACCGGTTTGTCAACAACTTTTGGCACTGGTTTCCTCTCGAGTGGCTGAAATGTCTTGAGTACAGGTGTCTCATTGCTTTGTTCCAATTCACGAATGACTTGTGTGTGCTGAAAAATGTTTAATCATCATAACAAAATGATTCTCACGCTCGTACTCTCATTTCACTCATTAATATCCCTCTCCCAACTCATCATCTATGTTCCGGCTAAGGTAAAAGGCTTACCTCTCTCTTCTTAATTGGCGGGAAGCTATTCTTTCTCTGCTCCAAAAACATGTGCTTAGCGGCAGGGAATGCGGGAGCTAATTCCATTTCGGAAATAAGATCAAGGACATAATCAAAGCCATTTGTCTCAGTGACAATTGCATCTGGTCCGTCCAATTGATTCCACAATGTTATTGTCCAACCGTTATTTTCAACGCCGTGATTGCGTATCGCTAGATTCGCCAATTCTTCACACGTCGTCCATGAATCGACAGCGCATGTTGTGGTTTCACCTTAAGAAGAAAATTATTTATTCAAAAATTAATTCTAAACCTAACGAAAATAATTTCAATTTATATAACAAAAATTATTTATAAGAAATACTTTTAATAATTTTAATAGTTAGAAAAATTGTTCATTTAAATCGTAAATATAGATTCAAATGCAAAAGCAACTTATTCGCAAATGATTTTAATAATTTTAATAGTAACAAAAATTGTTCATTTAAATCGTAAATATAGATTTCAATCCAAAGTAAATTAATTCGCAAATTTCGTTTAAAGTGGAAATAAAATTTGAAATAAAAATACAAAAAATTGGAATAAATTATTAACTGCCGGTGCATGGAATTTTGTCAAAATTCGACGGATTTAAAAATAAGAATAATTAAACTTCATTACCATCGTAGAATCCAACGGTTAGAGCCATATTTACGCGATTTCTGTTTGCTCGCCATTCCAAAACGGAAGGTGGATAATTTCTTGGAACGTGTTGAATGGTCGTTTGACCATTGCTTGTCGCTCTTAGTAAAGCTCTCTCACCTTGGAGCAATTTTCGCTGACAGAAAGCTTTGTACCCGTCGTAAGCATGATCTGAGACGTATCTGCAAGAAAAATCAAAATACAATTCCTAACATCGTTAAATTAAAGCAAAATTTGTTTTTCTTTTTAATAATGTTTGTAAAAATAATGGAATTTATTTTGTTAACTTTTTTTATGATTTTAATTTACTTTTACAGGTTTGTCACAAAAATTTAAGTTCTTTTTTCCTTGATTTTTAGACAAAAATAGTTTCTAATACATTTATTTGTGAATGTAAAATTGTAAAATTATTCGAAACATCGATAGTTCTTTTTTAGATAAATATTTAATCATTATTATTATTTTTCCATAAACATTAAAATTTTCTAATATTTCAAATATTAAACCTTTTAAAATTCAACAATTCATAAGAATTAATACTGCAACTTCTCCAAAATTATTTTCAATATTTTAATTGAATTATTTTCTAAAATATTTAACTAAAATAGATTTCTATATTAATTATTTTTAAATTTTTTTGCGACAATTCTTTAAGAATGCAATTATACAAGTCCAAGAAAGTGCACTTAAAGATTATAATACGTCTAAAATTCAATTTTTTCCATTTAATTTTACGAAATCATAAATCGACGGTTTAGAGTGCAAACCTGCTAACTTTAATATATTTCCTTTTGAAATATATTTTAATTGATATCTCTTACACTCAAAATATAGACACATTTCAATACAATACAATATATTATGTGGAGTTATAGCAGTGCAATTTGACAGGTATGGAGTTAGCTGTTTTACTCACAACACTTTTTTAGCAATTTAGAGACATAATTTCGTCAAACTGTTTTACTTAACTCATGTATCACCTCTTTATCTATCAAATACAAAAAGAATCTCAAATTTGATAAAAAGTGGAGTTAGCTGGTTTGCACTCTAAACCGTCGAAATAATTAATCTTAAAAAATTTGAAAATTAGTATCATTAAAAATTTCAATTGAAAACGTTTTAAAACATAATTATTTCTACAAATTTATTCTATAACACTTTTAATATTCAATTATTTTATAGAATTTTCAACTTAAAATTCTTTCCTAAATCCATTATTTTTAATAATTTTTAGACAGTTCTTTGAAAATTGAAGTATTAAAAAAAGAAAAGGAAAGTTCATTTAAATAAGAATTTAAAATTCAACTCTTTTTGATTCAATTTTACAAAATTTTGATTATTTGAAAATTTTTCAATTAATTTTATATTCAAAAATTCAACTAATTTGAAACAGATTTCATTTTAATGGTTTCCGATTCAATTTTACAAAACCTTTTTTTGAAACTTTTGGAAAAACAGAATTGTTCAGAATTCTAAAATTTAATTCTTTTCAAAAACTTTTTCTACATCTCTTTCAAAATTCAATTTTTAGAATTTTTAATTAAAATTTTTCTCTAAATTAATTATTTTGAATAATTTTCAGAAATTTCTTTGAAAATTCAATAAACTCCAATTCTTATAAAAATTTCAAATGACTCTCTTCATTTATTTTCTTTTAAGCTTTTAATATTGAAAAGTTAATTCAAGAACAGTTTATGATTTTTAATATGGTCAAAATTCACTAAAAAGTAGAATTTTTATAATGCAATGTGAAACAATGTAAAACTAACATTTTCAAAATTTTTTAGATTTTTTAAAATTAAAATTTTCTAAAATTTCAAGTTTATACCTTTTGAAATTCAATTATTTATATTAACTGTAAACATAACTTTTCATAACTTTTTTTTTTTTTTTTTTTTTTTTTTTTTTTTTTTTTGGAATTTTTAAGTAAAATTATTCGTTAAATAATTTATAAGTAATAATTTTATGATAGTTCTTCACGACTTGAATTATTTAAAATCAATTATTATCAGAAAGGAAAAAATTAGTTAGGACTTTAAAGTTTATAAACAAGCAAAAGAAATTCAAGAAGAATTAAATCTTTTAAATATTTTCAAAAGCCGATGATCAAAACCCAGTATTTTCTTCTAAATTCTATAAATTTAATATTTTTCCTGTACTTCTATTAAAACTCCCTGACTTTTTCCTGAATTCCCTGATTTTCCTAATATGTGAAATCTTCTTTTATTTAAAACTGAGGAAACTTAAAATTATGATTCCATTTTGACACAAAATTGATATTTAAAAAAAAATATTTAAAAAATAAACTTCTATAATTAATTAATTAATTAATTCACTCATTCATTAATTAAGCAATTAATTACTTAAGTGATTGACTTACTTGAGTAAATATTTAAAAAGTGTTGGACTAGGTTGAAAAGCGGAGAGACAATTTGAAAGCAATAACCATCCTCTCTCCTTATTGGCGTCATTCTCATTTTTCCACGTTTGATTTGACAATTGACAGAGAATTTCGTCACGTAATTTTTCATTGACAATTCCTTTATTAATAATATAATCTCCAAGGGCTTGCTCTCTCTTGCCACTGAGATTATTCTCGTTCATAAAGCGAAGAATCATTTTGAATATCATTAGAGAATCGGTGTAGTCTTGATCGCGTGCCTTCGCCAAAAATGGCGTTTTAATTGGCTCCCTTTTCATTCCAAAAATATGACTCTTGAAATAAATATTCGTAAACTTGGAGAATTGATGCTGATCAATGTCAGTGGGCAAACTGTAATTGTATGGAAATGGAACAACTGTACCAACAACTTTAATCAAGTTCCTCTCCGTGTGAGTTGGCTGCCAGTCTGCAAGAGTTAGAAAAAAAAATTAATAATCAACAATAATAACAGAAAAATAATCGTTAGTTATTTAAATAAAAAAAATTGTTAGTTATTTAAATAAAGAAAAGAAAATAATTGCTAGTTATTTAAATAAAAAAAATGTTAATTAATATTTAACTAGTTAAATTATTTCCTCACCGTCAAGTTTGCTGTAAATAAAAGCAAGTTCAGCGGGAATTTCGAGATGATTGACACCGGCGACAGCTCTCGAGGCTCTTTCCTGTTCCTCTCGTTGTTGTTTTGCTTTGGCCCTTTCTCGACTGGCTCTTTCAATTTCGGCTCGTTTTGCCATTTCTTCTTTCAAAATATTGAATTTTTCTCGTTCAACTTTGCCACGGTAGAGTTTTTGCGCCATGAGTACACCTTTCTTCAGTGCCCTGTACTTCTTTTTCTCTCTGTAGCCACGATACACTGCTTGCAATAGCACCGTACTTCGGGAAATATTGAGAAATCGCCTTCGAGCCAAAAAGCCCCGAGTGTATCTGTCACGTGCAAAAAAAATTCCAATTAAGCATTCTCTTGTTTAGAAGTATTTACTTAAGAATCCAATTTCGAAATTGACGATAGTTAAAAATTTTTCTTTTCATAAATTAATTTTACGATTCTAGAGATTTAAATACAAAATATTTTTTCGCAATTTTGCATTTAAAAACAAAATTGATAATTGATAAATTAGATTAAAATGAAATAAGAGCAAAAAAAGAATTCAGAAAGCGGTGTATTTAGTTGCAGATGTGTGACTAATACGTTTTCCTGCGCGTCTGTTTTGAGTTCCCTTCAAATATCACATGGTAACGGCGTTGCCACGCAAATTATTATCAGCCCACGTGGTTACCTTTCAACTGATTACAGTAGTTAGAAAAACTCATGATACTGTTGACATGAATATTTTTTCATCAAATTATCTCGTAATTAGATTATTTTTCTTCAATTTTCCTTTCTCTTATTCAGAAACAAAAATTCTTTTTTTTTAATCTTTGGGAGTAAATAAAATCTGAAGAATTTAATTATTGAGATTATTTTTACCTTTGAACGGTGATAGCGGCTTTTTCCAAAATCAAAGCTCTATTGTATTCGAGAGTTCTCTCGAGTGATTCCCGTAAAAAGACCCTCGTTAGTCCGAGTTGATATTGATTTTGAGCCTCCTTTGGGGCAGCTTTTTCGAGAATAAGACGACAAAGTTCCTTATTTGGTGCACCTCTTGGTAGCCGATTCGGAACCAAATACCGATATCGATCAACAAAATGAGCAAAGAGAAGACGAACTGGGTATCCGGTTTTACGAATGCGAATTGTCTCCAACATTCCCGTGTAACGAAGCTGTTCAAGAACGCAAGGCATGTCGAATTTCATTGGAGCTTTCTCAGTGTTTGGCTTTATGCAACGAACGAACCACGGATTGCATCTGTAAAATAATTTTTTTTTCTTAATAAATAGTTGTACCGACGTTAATTAAATTGTTCCTTAGATGTAAATGACATTTAGAATAAAATAAAAGCTTAAAAACAATTGTTTGGAAAACAAAATTTGCAAATAAAAATTAAAATAGAAAAATGAAATAAACAAAATACACACTGGGACATGGATTCGAGGAGTTGCTGCAAACTATCGTGAAATCGAGCAGATACGGTTGGTGTTCTTGGTTTCATCGTGACGAATCTACCATTTGGTTTGTTCACGGTTTTGTTCGCTTCATGAGTATTTCTCACGTGCTGAAACATTTTGCTCACCATCTACGAAGAGAATAATCAGGATAATTAGGTAATTTTTTTTCTATTTTTCGTATTTTTTAACATTACAAAAAGAAATTACCTGAATTTTGCTACTAATGAGCAATTCGACAACATCGGACCTCAATGTGTCTCGATTCTTATCCAAAAATCCGTCAACGTTGTACCAAACCTGTCCGGCGTAATGCTTGATTGCAAATTCAGCCGAGTTCATCCTTGGCCTTGAATACAATTCACTTAAAGCGTGATTGTAATGGCACTTTTCCAGGAAAGACAAATCCGTGGCTTTTGGAAAGTTGCTCTCATCGTCGAGAAGATGCAAAATTCCCACTGGTTTCTTCGCTATCAAGTGAATGACCGGAAAATTGTCCTACAACGCAAAAAGTACGTTTTCAGTAAAAATAAAACCAAACAGAAAAAACAAAATATATAAAATATAAGAGATACTAAAATAAAGAAATAATAATAAATAAATATATAAATAATAAAGAAACTAAAAATAAAAAATAAATAAATACGCAAAATGAAAGTATCGATAATGAGAATAAGATTATTAATAAATAATAAATTAAAATCGGATAAAATTGAAAGTTTATTGTATTTAATTTTATTTAATGTAATTAATTCTTACGGTATAGTTAATTGTAGTCCAGTCGATTTTCTCTTTCGCATATTCCTGTTGTTCGAGTTTAAAAATGTGTTTGTTGAAGTAAAAATGCAGATTTTCATTAGCGTAATTAATGCAAAGTTGTTCAAAGCTATTTTCGGTGAAATTCTCGAAACCAAAAATGTCAAGAATTGAAATGGCCGATGTTTGTTTCGTGCCTTTGTAAACAATGTGATTAACTCGAGCAACTAACCAAGAGAATAGAGAACTGTACAGCGCCTTTGCAAATGCATCTCTTGCATCAAGAGCTTGATCAATATTCAATGCAGTCAATACTCTTTCGTTTCTCGCTTCCTGCAAATTAATTGTTTCTCACTCAAGTCATTGAAGATAAAAAAAGTAAATTAAGCAAGTAATTACAGTCATTTTCTATTTTTACCTCAATTAAGTTAATTAATTTCTTTCAAGTACGTAAATTTTTTTCTTCAAAGATAGTGCAAAAAAAAAATATTTGTATTGTTTTCTATTTACGTACAGTGGTTTTTGTCGTCAGGGCCCTGATGATACCGTCGGCGTTAATTTGAAGAAGATGAGCAGCCCAGCGAATTTCAGCGTCCGATCCTACCTCAACACCTTCCTGGCCGTGTCTCATTTGCTTCCGATGGAAATAAACATTTCCCAAGTGAAGAACACTGCTTAGAATTTTAAATATCGTATCCTGCTCTTCGGACGTGAACCCCAAGACTTGCATGGCCGATAAAAGAGCTTTGAAGTCTTGTGTATCATTTTTACCATCGATTTCGCAATTACCTCCCTGGAAATTTTCAATTGAATAAACACAATAACAGGGTTGCCACACGCTTTTGCTCATTTCAAATTCCTTGACTTTTCCAGGTTTTACAGGTTAAAAAACGAAATTTTTCCAGATTTTTAAAACTACATTATTTTGTTGCCAACAAAAATTTAATTTTCTTTTTCCCTGACAAAATTAAATTCCAGACAAAATCCTTACTTCTTGACTCTAAATAATATTCTCAATAAGTTTAAAAATTATTACTCAGAAAAATGTTCCATTGCTTCTTTTTTGAATAAATATTAAATGATTATTATTTTTCCATAAGAATTAAGATTTTCAAAAATTTCAAATTCAAACCTTTTTGAAGTTAAACAATTTTGAAAAAATTTATGAAGATATCGATCACTCGAGTGTTTATCGATATCATGTTTTTCGATATCACTCCGAGTCTTCGACTCGGAGCAATCATAGTCTTCATGTTTTATAATAATAATTAAAGATGACCGACTGATAAAATCATTATTTTATATTTTATAACAATATTATTACTGTTACTTCATAAAAATTATTCTCATTTCAATTCAATTATTTTCTAGAATTTTAAATTTTTAACTATTTTCATTTTTTTTTTATTTTTTAATTCTTCTTTAAATTAATTATTTTTAATAATTTTTAAAAAATTTCTTTGAAAATTTTCAAATCTTTTTGTTTACAATTCAATTTTACAAAATTTCATCGATTATTCGGAAATTCTTCAATTAAATATATATTAGAAAATAAAAACTTCAAATAATATAAAAAAAATCCGCAAATAAACTTTCTGAAAAAAAAATTAATTCCACAGAATTGTTAGTTAAAAATATGAAAAATTCAAATTTTCGAAGATTTTAATCTGACACCTTCTAAAAATTCAATTATTTCTAAAAATTCACGCTATATAATACTTTCAATTTAAATTTGAATTAGTAAAAATGTTTACTATTTTGGAATTAGTGACTGACTTTTTGCATTTGAATTAGTAAATTTTACTATTAAATTAGTAGAAACGACTATTTATTGGTAAAATTTGTTAATTCAAATGCAAAAAGTCAGTCACTAATTCAAATTAGAAAGCATTTTTACTAATTAAAATTTAGAGTTTAATATTCAATTATTATCTGAAATTTTAACTGAAATTCATATTTAAATCAATTTTTATTAGAAAATTCTACGAGAATTCAATTATTTAAATACAAAAATAAATAATTTATGGAATAATTGAATGTTTCTTAAAATTGAACTCTCATAAAGAAATTTATCAACAAATTTTTAAATAATTAAAATTCTTTTGACGAATTTTAATAAAATTTTTAAGAATAATTTCCATTTTCGAGAAATTAGATTAAAATTGCATTAAAAGTAATTGAATCTCTGTTAAAAAACTTTTAATTGAATTGAGAAAAGTTTTTCTAAAATAATTGAAATTTTGCTAAGAATTTTATTAAATTTTTTGAAAATAATTGAATTTTGAAGAATATTTTTTTTATTTATAAAGATAATTGAAATTTTGCCAAGAATTTTATTAAAATTTTTGAAAATAATTGAATTTTAAAGAAGAATTTTATTACTTTTGAAAATAATTGAATTTTTAGTATTTAATTAATTAATTCAAAATTGAAATTTTCTAAAATTTCAAATTAAAACTTAAGGCAAATTAAACGAAAACAAATTAAAACCTTTTGAGGTTCACCTATTTATGAAAATTGTAAACGCAACTCTTTTAAAATTCAATTAATTTTGAAATATTTAAGTAAAATTAGATTTCAAGAATAAGCACAATAACTTTAGAAAACAATAATTTTCCAGGATTCCGATCAAAATTCCTTGACTTTTCCAGGTTTCCAGGTTGCGTTGCAACCCTGCAATACTTTAATTAATTATCTAAAATCTGAATTACCTGATTTAGATAGAAGTATTTATCGGGTTTCAAAAGTCCGTATTTATCCCTCAATTGTTGATCAAGACCGGCTAAAAGTTCATAGAAAACATGGTAGTTTCTTTCGTCCGTGGCTTGAGTCACGATTCTACTTTTTTCCAGAAGATACTGCGTGACTCTTCCTCCGACAATAACTCCACTGAAAAAAGAGGAAATTTTCAATTTTTGTTTCATTTTTACATCAATTTTAAGAAGTATAAATTATAAAAATTCTGAAAATTGTTTTAAACTGTCGCATCAATCAAAATACGTCTCGTTAACGTTTTTTTCCCCCCTTAAAGCGTTACTCACTCTCGAAAATGGACTTCTAAGTATTTTCCAAAACGACTGCTATTATTGTTCCTCGGGGTCTTGGCATTTCCGAAACTCTCGAGAAGCGGTGCAGCCTCCAAAATTTGTTCTGTAACTAAATTACTAGGCGCTCGATTTACGGCCGCGAGATATTGCATTACCAATTTCGTCGACTCGGTTTTCCCTGAACCAGATTCACCGGAGATCACTACAACTTGATTGGCACTTGCATTGTTGGCAGCACTTACTTGACTGTAGGCCGATGATCCAACGGCGAAAAGATGCCTGTTAAAAAAAAGTACACAATTACAATAAAAAAAAAAATTTTTATATACCTTCGTCTCGACAATAAAATTTAAAGAGTAAAACTTACGGTGGTAATGTTCCCAGGATTCTACCCTCATATAATTTCACTTGGTCCAGACCGTAAATATCGAACATCTTGTATGGATTGACGGCGACTAGGATACTTCCAGTATAGGTCTGAAAGTTAAAATAATTTTATTACTCAATAATTGGATATTCAGTTTATATAAAAGTTTAATGGTTAATTAAATTTACTTGTTAATTAAAATTAACTTCTGATAATTAAATTTAATTTTAAATTTAATTGTCAATAACATTTTTAATTCACGATAAATCTTCATTGAATTTAAAACTTATGAAGAGTAGTTCCATAATAATTAATCAGTAATTTCAAAATAAAAGTTAAATGCTTATAAAAAAAGTTGGTTTTAAAGATAATAAAAATTATTTTCTAAAAGAGGGTATGTAATTTAAATTAATGACTCACGTAAATTAATTCTTTGTCGTAACGAATTTTCAGATTCCATAATAAAGATGCCTCGTTCAAGTCGCTGGAAAGAAACAAAAATTTATAAATACAAGAGGATATCAAATTCGCGTTCTCTTATAAAAAAAAATTAATTAAATAACTTACGAGAGTTGAATCATGTCCTCAACACCATTTTGACCCAAGTCCTGTCTTGGTTTCACTCCACTAAGATTCGTCAGTGTGAAGATTTGAGGCTAAAAAAAGTATTTTTCAAATTAATTTCTTTCTTTACTAAACAATTAAATTTCTACTACTAAACAATTTTTTGCTAATCAAAATTTTTCCACCTAAAAAAATTATTTATAAAAGTGGCCTAATTTAAAAATCTCTGAAATAGAATACGAAATATTTTAATTATTCTAAAGAGCTTTTTTTTCGAAAAAAAAAACAATTCCCAAGAGCAGATCATTTTAATTTTTTTTCGCAAAAAATATGAGAATCACGAGTGTAAAAAAAAGCGTTTATTTATATATTTCGCATGACGTCTGGAGTCTCCGCTTTTCCTGATTTTTTTCACAGCTTTCTCAGTGTCTCTTTGAATGCAACTTGAGAGAATTTCACGGGAAAAAAAGGATCTATCGCGCGAATCCACGAGCGCATAAGACTCGCGAACCACTTTAGTTGGAGAACCAACCGGATACCGGCTTTGAAATCCCATTGGCGCAGAATTTGTTCTATTTTACTATTAGGTAAATATCAAAATATTGATAACAAGCTGATTTTATTTTGGGGAGATCCCTTCTTCTCAATTAATAATTATTTAATTATTTATTTGTTAACTTAATAAATTAAATTAACAAAATGTGACTAGCAACTTGATTGTAAATAATTTATTAACAAATTAAATTATCAATTAAAATAATAATTAAATTAACAATTAGGTAATAATTAAATTAACAATTAAGTAATAATTAATTAACAATTAAGTTAACTATTAATTAATAATTAAGTTAACCATTAAGTTAATAAACTAAATTTACATTTATATTAACTGCTTAATTAATAATTAATTAACTATTAAATCAAAAACATAATAAAATAATTAAAAAGTATTTTACAGTTGTTTAAGATTTTTATAATGTTTAAAATATTTTGAAGCAAAAAAATTTAATTAAACCAGAATTTTCTATTTTGTTTTGCAAAGTAGAATTTTTCGAAACGATATAAACAAATTTATGGAAGGAACGCTTATTTGGACATAAATATTATTGCAATTATGAAAAATGTAATATTACATTTTTAATTAGCATATAAATTTTAATATTTACACAATTTTTTAGTATTAATTTTTCAATAATTTATATCAGAAATATATAATTTTTTTCGCTAAAGGAAGTGTGTATACTTCTTCAAGAAGAACTTTCTCAAGTATAAAATATAACTAGAACCAGATTATTAAAACAAGTTATTAGCTTCATAATTTCCATAAGTTATTTATACTCTAGAGAAAATTTGAACACAACTTTTTTGCAAAATGAAGAAAAACCTTAACAAAAAGAAAAAAAAAACTATAGACAACATAAAGTTTTGAAACAAGTTTCCATTTTAGGAAGTGGTGAAAAAAAAAGTTGAGTGCGATTTTTTTTTCGTGTAAAGGGTTAAAGTGCATGTCCTTTAGGAGTTTCAAGAACATCAAGTGCTATGTTCTCCAGGATCGTAAACAACATACAGCAATTCGATATATATATATATATATATATATATATATATATATATATATATATATATATATTTCTTGTCCCTACGCTTTTGTATAATAGGACACCGCCCCAACTACAGTTTTGCCACGCAACGACCATACACCATAATATCTGCACCAAGAAAACGGTGTGCAGCGATATTATAAAGAACGAAGAAACAGAAGATGAAGAAAAAAAAATTATTAAATTTTAAATGGATTGTCGTGAGACGCTTATATTCAATCTATCAATTATGCACACGTAATACCCTTCAATGCCCTCGATTTGATCTCACAATTTCGTTAAAACCGGTCGAGAGAGGAAATGTTTATAATGATGCATAAAGTTTGATATGTTCTGTTATGTTTTCTTTCATTCCTCAATTTTTTTTCTTTTTTTCTTTTTCCTTTTTTAATAACAAAGTCGACAACCTTCGTTTGCAAATAACATCTCATTGCAGATATAACGGGTTCTATAATTTTCCAATCACAGGAACTGAATTGATACATCACGTACATATATTTGAAAAAAAAAAATTCTTCCTTTTTATAATAAAGAAATATTTCTAGAACGGATGAACGATCTTTTCTATATAAAATTATTCAGGGTACATATAGGAAACTAGAGGAAAAAATTTGTAGTCTTTTTGCGAATTGCTCCATATTACGACTATGAAAAAAAATTCTTCTCGTTCACAAAATAAATAAAAATTTTCATTTACAGAATTTTTTAATTTTTTGTAAATTTTTTTTAACGAAATTTTGACAATTTTCATTTGAAAAGGAATTTCAATTTGGACGAATTTATTCTGATGAATAAAATTCAGTTAAATTGAAATAATTCAATGTTGGAAAATTTTAATTTTGTGATAATTTCGTGTTTTCAAGCTTCAAATAAATATTATTTACTTTTTGAAAAAAATTTTTAATTTAACATCTCCTGAAATTTATTTACTTTTAAAAATTACAATTGTAATCCTTCTAAATTTAACCATTTTCTAGAATTTTTATCTAAACTTTTTCTGTAAATCAATTATTTTTAATAGAGGTGTGCAAAAAGCTCGAATAGCCGAGCCGAGCCGGGCCGCAATTTTTTCGAGTCGAGCCGAGCCGAGCCCGAGCCGGGCTCGATGTATCGGGTACCCGAAATTTTCGAGTACTCGATTTAATTCGAGCTTTTAAATTAAAAAAATTTTTTTTTTTTACAAAAAAAAATTTAATTAAAAATTAATGTAGAAAATTTTGGATTTTCTCAAGGGCTCGAATCAAATCGAGTACTCGAAAATTTCGAGTACCCGAAAGTTTCGGGTACCCGAAAAATTCGAGTACCCGAAATTATTCGAGCTTTTTATAAAGCTCGGCTCGGCCCGAGCTCGGCTCGAGCTCGAACTGAATAGGCTCGGCTCGGCTCGAAAAATGAAAAGCTCGAAAATACCCGCTCGAGCTTCGGGTTTCGAGCTTTTTGCACACCTCTAATTTTTAATAATTTTCGGAAACTTGTGCAACTCTTTATACATTTTTAAGCTATTAAGGTAAATTATTAAATTATTGATTTTTTAGTTACATGCATTTGAAAAATTTCGAAATAATTGAAATTTAGTAAAATCGTTTGGAAAATGATTGAATTTTATAAAGAATTTTGATTAAAAATTTTGATAATGATTCAGATTGTTTGTTCCAAAATTTTAATAATAATTTTTAAAAAATAGATTTCTTTAGAAAAGTTTGTAATATGTAATTATTTTTTTTGTAGATATTTGAATTTACGGAAATAAATAATCAAAAATATTGGAAATAATTAAATTTGAAAAAACAATTTAATAAAAAAATTCTTAGAATTACTTTTTTAAAAAAATTTGTAACTTAATTTATTGTAGCTAATTTTCAATAAATTAGATTTTTAAATTTCGTTTGAAGATTTTTTATTAAAATTTTTAAAAATTCAATTATTATTTTACTTATTTTTTGTAAATTTATACATTATTGGGATTTAATTTTTCTTTTTGTAATCTTATTTTTTCCAGATATTTCACTTTTCGAAAAGATTTAATTACCGATATAAAAAATAATAAAAATTCCAAGATTTATTCTTTTAAAAAATATTTGAACATATTTTTGTAGGTAATTTTCATCAATTTTCATTTACAAATTTTCAATTCAATATTTTTTATTAAAATTTTTAAAAATTCAATTACGTATTATTTTTTTTCATTTTTTTTTTGTAAATTGGAAATTATTGTAATTTAATTTTTCTATTTGTAATTTCATTTTTTTTGAGTACTTGAATTTTCGGAAATATGTAATTGAAAATATTGGAAATAATTGAATTCTAAAATATACAATAAAATATTCTAAGATTTACTTTTTTTTAAAAATATATTAACTTTTGAAGCTAACTTTTATTATGTCTTCATTCATAGATTTTTGTTTAAATAATTAAATTAAATTAAATTAATTAATAAAAAACTAATGATTAATAATTAATAATAATAATTCAATTAAAAATTACATTAATTGAAATTTTTAGGAAATCAATTACATTCAAAATTTGTAATTATAATTCTTCAAAATTTGATTATCAAAACTTTTAATAAAATATTTAAAAAATCAATTATTTAAAAACTGTTTAATTATATATGTATTTTGAAAATTAGTTAATAAAAAATTATTAAAAAACAATTATTTTTGAAAGAATTGATTATAGTTAATTTTCACTATAAACATCGAAATAGTTTATATTTTATACCATTTTATATCTTTACTAAAAGTGGTGATTTAATGCAATATTTGTAAGAAAAGTAGAAAAAGTCGCATTTTATAAAAATAAGTCGTAAAAATTCGAAAAAGTCATAATATCCGAGGCCTGTGTTTTTAAATTAATTTTAATTTACCAATTTACTGAAAATAATATTTTCTGCAATTATATGAAAGAAAATGTGAATTTGGAGACAATAAAACGATTATCGAAGATCTATAAACTTTCTCGCGAATTTCTTGCGATTATGCGTCTAGGAGAGTAAATTGTAAATCAACGTTACGTTTGTACAATTGTATATACTTTCGCGGAGAATTATTATCGGCATCCCACTCACTTCGTTTGTAAGTTGTAAGCAAAACGCACTTTGGTATAATAGAGGCCGGTTACTTTCACGGAAGTGCCATATATTTCATCAAGTATGCACGGTATTCCAATAATTTGAAACTTGTTACGACTTTCTACATATAATCGAGCCATCCTCAAGAGTTTTTGATGCACCGTTAGGAGACGAAATTAAATTAAATTATTGCCTCCTGTTCATTTCAGGTTGAATTAAAGAATGATGTATTGCCAGAGAAACTCCCCTTTTACATATACTTGTAAAATCAAATTTTTTTTTTCTTCCACCCATAATAAACACACCTTCATTTCTTCTTTATTCTATAAAAGTTAATTTTTTTTTTTTTTTTAAATTATCCCAATTAGCAAATTTTTGTAAATATGTAAATATTTAACAATTTCATTTTTCATTTTGATTA